GGGGCTGAGATTACAGATTGAAATCCTTTCTGTGCCATTTGGCACCATGCCTGTGTGCCACTGGGGGACTCTCCTGGACACTCCAGACCAGAGTCTTGCCTGGCCAAAAACACAGCTTGGCTGTGCCAGGCTGCCAACTGACAGCACCCCAGCCACAGTGCTAAGTATATTGACTCAAATAAGGAACTGGATTTGGTTCTTGGAGTATGGCTAGAAATCATTCTTGGGCCACCCCATGGCATACCGGTGTGGCACCGGGGAACTCTCTTGGACATCTGTGGTCAGAGTCTTGCCCAGCTCAAAGTGCAGTTTGTGCATGCCAGGCTGCCAATTGACAGTCCCCCCATGCCCACTGTACTAAGTATACGGGCTCAAATAAGGAGTTTCTTTTGCACTGGGATTAGAGATGGAAATCCTTCTTGGGCTACCCCATGCCATGCCTCTGTGGTTTTTCCAGTTTTCTGGTTTTCCTGTAACTGGGCTGTTTTTTGGCCTGGGATTCCAGCTGGAAATTCTCCCTGGTCCAGCCCATATGGTCAGGGGTGTCCAAGAAAGTACCCCAGTGCCACAGAGGCATGGCATAGGGTAGCCCCATCTGTGGGGTGTAATAACCACATATAACAGTGCATAGGAATGGCAGCTATGTGCCCAGCTCTGGGGTGTAACAGCTGCATATAACAGTGATATAAGAGTGTATGGGGAGGGCTGAGATACATCCCAGAGCTGGGTGTAATGGCCACATACAACAGTTTTTCACAGCCCACACCATACACTGCCAGTACCCTTCACTCCTGATCCACAGCTGCCTACCCTCCCAGGAGTGGCATGCACTGGGTCTCAGAGGGATCAAAGCCCCAAGCTGCAGGCGGCAGCTCAGGTTCTTTCCGACCCCCTTCCAGCATGAAGCCAGGCAGCTTGGTGTGCAGATGGCATATGGAGGATCCCAGAAGCACTAGAACCTGGAGCTGCAGCTAGCTGCCCAGGCATTGATAGCTAAGTGGTACAGGTTTCACTTGCTGTGTAGGTGACGTGGATTTGATTCCTGCCCAGGGCACCAGAGTGTTGAGTTACTTGCAAAAGGGAATCCCCACTGGGGAGGGGGTTCCTTTCATGACTTTAACCCTGCCCCACTGGGATGCCTGTGCCTCAAATTTTGTGGGATCTGCACCTCATATTTTGGGAAATCCTGCATCTTATATTTTGTGAACCCTGTACCTTAAGTCTGTAGTGTTGATTTGTCTCTGTTATATGTGTATGTTCACCTAAAATGTGGATGTTCACCTTTGACTCCCTTCTGCTCCCCTGTACCATTATCTCCCAGGGTCCCCTTGTCCCACACATGTGGGTCATATTCCACCCTGTTCTTTCCCTCTTATATCTATATACGGTTAAGTTCCAATTAGTCTTGGCTCTACTCTATAGGGGATAGGAGAGCTGCTCCCCCATAAGCAGCTACCCCTCCCATAGCACACTAACACCCGCTAAGTCCCTTCAATTGGAGAGGGGGTACCTCATTTGAGTACCACTCGGGTTACATTTACCACCCAGGTTACCTGTATCCTCCCAGCCCTGCCAGTCCCACTCACACCTGACTTGCCCCCCCTCAGCCCTGCCAAGCCAAAAACCCAGTCCAACAAAAAGTAATTTTAATTAACCTGAGTCTTCAACTGCATGACCCATAACAATTTGATCTTTGCCACAAAGTGCATGCAAGCACAGGGAACATTTTTGGGGTGGGGGGCGGGAAAGAATCCAAAAAAGTTGTATTTTTCATTAATCTGAACCTTGAACTAAATCACCAGTAAAAAATTGCAAGACTAGCACCTGGAGTCTTGTTGAAGTATTGCAATAGAGATTCAATGGATTTCCATGGATTATCCAGTGAACCCAAGTGGCACCTGGTGGCGTAATAGTTGCAAAGCAAGGAAAATCATGTTTTTGGGAGTAAGTCAGGTCCACATTCTAAATGTAAAATGATTAAAAAAATAAACCACCCTCATGGAAGAAATTCAGGAGCTAAATATAAAACATGTCAGAGGTGTTTTAAATTACCATGATAAAAAACATCTAAAACAATAAAGTCACTAGCTTAATGGCGATTTTTGTCACATGAACACAGGAAAAGTGTAATTTGGAAACAGGAGAGGTGTCATGTGGACAAGCGCCCTCTGGGACAAGGATCAGATAAACAGGATTAGGCAGTTCACAAAAATGTGAACTCCTCCCTTTCTGTGTCCTGTAGACATTCCCTCAGCAGTATCCCCAAGAGCACTAGGCAGGGGTAAAGGTTCCCGGGATGAACAAAATGTGCCCGATTCATTTTAATCTTGTCTCACACACCAAAAATCACTACCTTTGAATGTGCTGTCCTAGTGGCTAAAGGCTTGGTTACATTCTTGGTTTGCTTGTTTAGTTTTGCTTTGTTTATTTCCTCTGTGTTGCAGAGCTCTGGGGAGGGCTTTGGGAGCTTGACATCCTACTTCCATCCAGAAGTGCACTGTTACTTGTTATTAAAAATACCCCATACTGTTGGGAGTATGCACAATTTCAACCTTGACATTAAGCATCTGTAAGTACTGGTATGACTCTACCATTCATAAAAAGTGACCACAGAAAAAGCCTGAGCAGAGCCAAAGATAATTGACTTTTCAATCAGAGTGTCACAGGATACGTTTTGTGGCGTTTACCGAACCCTCTCTGTATGTTGCCTTCCGAAGGAAAGCAGGATTCTGCCTGGTCCTCAGGCAGCTTTGTGTTAAACCGGTCTATAAAAAATGCAAACGTATTTTGGGGCTCTGGCTAGTGTTCTTGATATCTGAGGACTTGAGTAGGATCAGTGGGTTGTAGTACAGGTATGTGTCAGAGTTCCCAAGAGACCACAGCTGTCTTTTATAGGCCTGTATCTTTTACAGTTCGCCAAGGAAAGAATTCATTCAGTAACTCTCTGGTGTCTCCTTTCAGCTGACAGGTGTCCAGCTCCCTTCCCCCAGCCCTTTTTCCACCACTACTGTAAATGCCAACTTTAGAAACCTGATCAGTTTTCCTGCTTATGCCAGTGTCTGGTAAAGATATTACTTTTTTGAAGTCAAGGGTGAATTTAAAAGGGCACAAAATGATTATTAACTCATTTCCCTCCCAAACAGACTAGGTGCAAAAGTAACTATTTTTAAAGGGCACCAAGAGCTGGGAGCAAGGATGGCATTACACCATGGCATGAGTGTGACCAAGCCAGGCTATTCTGAAGCACACTTATCGACCTGCTTCTTGTTTGTACTACCTAAACCTGGAGATACTTTAGTAAGACTGTTCAGAGGCATTCATCTGTGGCTCTCAAGACCTTGGTCTCTGGTGTGCCTAATGGAAGCCATGGGGATAAAGCTGGAGAAGTCTCATTCATATATTTCTGGATTTGGCACCTGTGGCCATATCCAGACATGTAGGTATGTGTGGTTTGTAGTACCACAAGCCGCATCCCAGAAAGTTAAAATATGTCTTGCATTGCAAGTTTGCAGTGCAGGGGCAAAATTTGCTACTGGGATTTCCTGGTAGCAAAAAAAAAAAAAAAAATGCTGAGAAAAAGTGGTACTGCGCATGTTACAGTAACATATATAGGAACAAATGGAGGCTCCATCCTCCAGGGAGACATTCTGGTTGCCTGCCAGCCTCTCTCCTATTTTATTTGTGCTCTGGCTGCTTCAGCATACCAGGAGCCATGAGGAGCAGGGAAAGGGCAGTTTGCCCAAAGTGGGAAAATTTGTCCCTCCCCAAAGTGGATGTGCAGGGGCGTACGCTGTGGCACAAATTTGTGCAGCTACTATTTGTGCTGCTACAAGCACACACCCCTGCTTGTTTGGAAGCGGCCTAACTGTTCTGATATCACAAGTCTTACTTAGCTTTTGTAAGAAGCATCACACTATCTTGGAAATAATTATTTTGGATCAAGAACACTGCAAAGTCAATCATTTACTGTATATATTCTGTACATATCTCTACCCCCTAAGAAAAATACTTAGATTACTAAGCAAGATCTTTGTAAAGTTGAAGGAACTACCTTCCATCACCTGACTTATGGAACATAGGCTTCCAAGATACCAAAGTACTTTTGAAAATATTAGCTTCTGGTAAGGTTTACTTAACTTTATCAGTTTACTTAAGTAAATTTACTTTTTTCCTATTTATTGAGTGATAGAATAAATAATACTAATCTGAAGAAAGGGCTTCCTTAGCACAATGATAATTAAATGCCTGGGATGTGCTTTTCACTTTCACACACTATTAAACCTCTGTTATGGATTCTGACAGAAAAGGTGCTATTAGTCCCATTAGAACTCAGTGAGAGTGTCTACAGGTTCATTCACGTGCAGTAGTTACTGTGCATTTAGTTTAGTACTTGCTTAACGAAGTACCAACTAAATACACAGTAACTATAGTTGCAGCACAATAGCAACAGCATACAGTTTCTTAGTGATGCTTACTGTGTAGTAGCCTAATACTACTGTGCAGTAGCTCATTAGCATAGTTTTTGCCAAGCACACTGCTGCACAGTGTTATTAGGCTACCGCACACTAAGTGTTTTGTGTAGATTCACCCAGTGGGAATTAGGTGCCTAAGTTGCTTGGGTGCTTTTGGAAACCTAATAGGCACCTGTCTGTCTTCATATTTAGGCCTCTCTAAAAAGCTGGTATTTACCTAGAGTTCTATGGATATATCAGTCTCAAAGGTAAAAAAACCAAACAAAACACCAAAATCCAAACATATTACTGTTTCAGTTGCACTTGATTCTAGATAACAGTATGATGGTCTTTTGTTTCCTGCAGTATCCATTCTGATTTGCACCTGGCAGCAATACAGTTTTATACTAAGTTCTCTGTGGTTGATCTGCAACACCCCAAACATTGCAAAGACAGCAAGTGAAAATGCAAAAAAAAGCCCATGAAAAGCCTCACTGCTGTTGCATGTTGAAAGGGTGATGTTGAGTGTGAGCTCTGCAGTACACTCACCTGCTGGCTCTCTTGGTAAGGGGGAGGGGGCACACTCTGTGTGGCCATCATTGTCAGAGCTGATGCTGGGGAGACATGTTGCATCATGGGATTGATTCACATCTAGAACCTGTTGATAGGAGAAAGTTCAGTTTGATTAAAAAAAAAAAAAGAAAGCAAACACACACATACAAACACACACAAAACCCACCACATAAGAAGGGACAAGTCAGTCAAGAATTAAGACACTGCGTTTAAGACCCCCAGCCAGGGTTGGTTTAGGAACATCTGCCCTTCTGGAGCAATCCTGCCTTTTCCCGGATATCATTTTCCCCTGCTCACTTCAACACTTTCAGCTTAATGAACGGTTTAGCATGTGTGTCCAGTCACTGGTGACTGGACACCAGTCACCAGTGAGGTGACTGGTGTCCTTAATGAGATGAGGCTCTGGGTTCTAGCTTGGGCCCTTGTTTCCACTGGGGTGCAACTTCCGTACTGTTCTCTCTTCACTTTATCCAATGAACATTAAATGCAATGTATAGGGAACCAGTCTTAAGAGGAAGGCTCTGAACAATGCTTAACCCGTTGCTTGGTAGTTAGAGCACTTTGCTTAGAAACAGGAGATACAGATTTAAACCCCTTCTGAGTAAGGAGTTAGAGAAGCTGTGACCTCTGATCCTTAAGTATGTATCCTAACTAGCAGACTATTGGTTTAGAAGAGGGGAAACTACATTTCCCCTTCTATGTCTAACAGAAGCTAGTCACAGAGTTTAGCTTGGCTAAAATTTTGGGACTTGAGTGCATACTTGAACCGTCATATGTCATCATGTACCCTCTTTCATGGAACATGACCCAACTGAACATGCTCAGTGGATGCATGCACAAATGTCACTTAAAGTTGAATTGCAAACTGTGTGTGAGGGCTAAAACTGTAGTTATGTGTATGAGTAACTGCCATCTTGATGTGCATGGTGAAACAAAATTTAACTCTAAGTTGGTTTTGTTGCCATCTGTCGTGTACTGATTCAAAATCTTTTCAAATAAATTAATTTATAGTACTTAAAATAATTAAAAACAATGCTGGATCAAAAAGATTTCTGCAGAAACTTCTTGGCTGACCTGCACCATGTTGTACAAGGCACAAATCTGATTTGCTACGTCTACTATTAGAGTATTTTAAGTAATGCTGTAATAGGGGTGTCAAACATACTGCCTGGGCGCAAGACCACCACCAGCCAGAAGGGGTTTGTACCTGGTTTTATGACTTCTCAGAACAGTGCTGTAACCACCACATATATATGTACCTGACTGGCACACCACTGTTTCCTAGAGAGGCTGTGAAGGTTCAGACCAGGAAGGGCATCAGCAGGTTTCCAGACTGTTTTCGGACTAGCTGACTGGGCTGAGGCACAAAGCCAAGCCACCACAGTACCCCAGTTGAGAATCAGTAACCCAGAGAGAGAGAAGCTTCCCTCTTCAGGTACTGTATTTTCCAATGGCTATATTAGTTGCTTAGCTTCAAAAGGAGAGTCATAGAAGTGTCAGGCTCATGGCTGACCTGTGATGTTGTTGTTGCTAGTGCATTTGCCTGGTCTGCACTCAGCTATGCCAGCAGTCATTCATGTCCATTATGCATCCAGGAACAAAATTCTTATTTAAACACAAGTGCCAAAAATACCTTGTAGACAACTGAAAAATGGACACTTATAGGACCAGGAAGGAAAAGAATGCCACCTCTAATGATCTTTGCAATCTAAAATGCATGCCAAAATGAATGTAGGTGTCTAATGGGTTTTATAAATGCTGTAGAAAGGGCATTCTGACTTTTATTTTGAGATAGGTGCTTAACTTACACGTACCATTTGGTTTCCCTGTTTGCTAAAATGGATCTGGTCCAAAACTTTAGTTGATAAAAAGGAATTTTAGTTAGATGACCTTTATCTCATGGAATAAGTTTGGAATTGTAATGACTATCACTGAGCAACCTAGTTGAATGTGTCTGTTTCATTTCAGATGATTTCACATCTCCCTAAATTACATTTGCTTAAGATATTTTGAGTCAGCCAATGTTTTCCTACATCTGACCACAATAAAGCCCCGAAATTCGAGCAGATATGAAGTTACTATGCTGGCACTTGTTTAAGAGGCAGGAGAGCTGGGGAGTCACTGAGGAGTGAATAACTGAGCTCAGAAAGTCTATCTAAAAATGGGAGAAATGGGTCATAAGCATGTATAATTCTGTACTACCAGGTATTCTGCAGCTGTCCAGTGACTACCAAAGAGTGGCAGGTGCTTACCAACAAGGGCACATGGCCAGGGCTGGTAAGGATTACTATTTTCTCTAGGTATCCAAACATCTTGCCAATCACTGGACCCCATGCCATATAATAGATTGGGCTTCCACTCATCCTCCTAACACAAATAATGAACAGGCACTTATAGTTTCATAGTTTGTAGGGTCAGAAGGGACCTGGGACGATCATCAAGTCCGACCCCCTGCCATGGCAGGAAAAAGTACTGGGGTCAAATGACCCCAGCAAGGTGTTCACCTAGCCTCCTCTTAAAGACCCTCAGGGTAGGAGCCAGCACCACTTCTTTTGGAAGTTGGTTCCAGGTCCTAGCCACCCTGACTGTGAAGTACAGCCTCCTGATGTCTAGTCTGAATCTACCCTCTGCCAGTTTGTGACCATTATTTCTAGTCACTCCTGCTAGCGCTCGGGGGAACAGCGACTCCCCCAATGCCTGCTGGTCCCCTCTGACTAGTTTGTAAACGGCCACTAGATCTCCCCTCAGCCTTCTCTTGTGGAGCCTCTCCTCGTAGGGCCTGCCCTGCTGCCCCCTGATCATGCAGATGGCCCTCCTCTGAACCCTCTCAATGCTGTCCACATCCCTCCTGAAGTGCGGCGCCCAGAACTGGACGCAGTACTCCAACTGAGGCCTGACCAATGCCGCATGGAGGGGGAGGATCACCTCCTTGGACCTGCTTGAGATGCATCTGTGGATGCATGACAAGGTGTGGTCAGCCTTCTTGACCGCATCCCCACACTGTCGGCCCATGTTCATTTTGGCATCAATAATGACTCCAAGATCCTTTTCTGCCTCTGTGCTGACAAGAAGGGAGTTCCCCAGCCTGTAGGTATGCTGCTGGTTCTTACTCCCCAAGTGCAGTACCTTGCACTTGTCAGTGTTGAAACCCATCCTGTTCTCATCTGCCCACCCCTATAACCTGTGCAATTGCAGCTGATTCCTCCCTTCTAGCGTGCCCACATCCCCCCACATCTTGGTGTCTTATTCCACTTCCTTATTTCCATTCTTGGTTGAATGAAGCCAGGCCCAATATTCTACTCAATGGCAGTTAAATTTGTCTAGATGTAAATGTGGTAACTTTTGACCACCACATCACATACTTTCCAGAATTTCAAGGAAAGCTGGAGACACCAATGGCCAATATGCCATTCATTTCTGTGACAATAAGAATGCTGGAAGGAAGAAACAGGGACACAGAGAGTTATAGAGTTATAGGTTTGGAAGGGACCTCAAAGATCATCTAGTCCAACACACTGAGCAGATACAGGACTTGTATTCTTATTCTATCCCAGACACATGTTTATCCAGTCCCTTCAAGGTAACCGCCAGTGAAAAGGACTTCCGGGTCTGTCGGGGAGTGTGCTGGGGGGCTCCCCCAGACCCCAGCTCAGCAATCAGCCATGGGGGGATCCTGGGTACCCCCCCAGGCCCGAGGCACCAGTCACTGAGCCAGGGGGGGTGCAGGCAGCCCCCCAGCACACTCCCTGGTGGACCCGGAAGTGGACCAGAAGTGCTTCTGGTCCATTTCCAGGTCTGCTGCTTAGTGTGCTGTAGAGCCCCCCATGCTCCTGTGGGATGCTCCATCCAGCCCACCATTACAGTGTTCACAAGCTGCCTGGTACCTTGAGATATGTACAAGAAACATTTAAAGGTGTGTTTATGTCTGCATCAATGAATCTTTCTGAATCTCTCTGAATCAATTTGGAGGATTCCAATTTGATTCTGACAGATTAAAGGGTCTCTTGATTCAATACAGATTTGGAGATTCAGCCACCGAATCGAACCAAATCTCCACAGAATCAAATCAGGGACTGAAGCTTCATACAGCCCTGCTAAACAGCCATCAGTCCTTGACCATGCTGGACACAGCTGCCTCCAGCTGGTAAGTGTGTTGTGGTGGGTGGAGGGGGGAGAGAAGGGTCATGGGGGTGGCAGATCAACATCCCTACAGCGAGGGAGAGATTGAGGCTGGGGCTGGGACAAGCTGCCCAGCCGAGTGGGGGAGTGTGGGACTCAGGGAAGGGGGCTTCCACCACTGTGCACCACTGCAGGCCTCCAGTCTAGGAGCTACTCTTCTGGTGGCTCCTCCAGTGGCTCTTGCCGCTGGTCCAGGAAGGCATGGGAGGGGGCGTGTGCCCCCGGATCTGCGTGGGGTGGGCTGGGCCAGGCTGTACTCTGGGAGGCTAGTCTCAACTGTGTGCTGCCAGGCTGTGCTCCGCAGGGTGGTTGGGGCCAGGGCTGCGCTCTGTCTGGCTAGCCCCAGCCTCAGCCCAGAGTGCAGCCCTGACTCTGCCTGCCCTGCAGAGGACAGTGGAGTGGGGCCTGGGGGGAGGGGGGGGCTGCAGACACCCTAAAATTCTCCAAAGCCCCTGCCACAAGCCCACCCCACACTGGGTACACGTGCCCACCCCCATGCCTTGCCATTGGTCGCCCAGATGAAGCAAAGCCACGGCTTGTCCAGGAGGTGCGGGGAGGCTGGAGTGGCTTATGCCACTATGTGCCACTTGTCTGAGGCAGCGCGGTGGCACCATCCCAGGCCTCCCCACCCCGGCTGGGCAAACGGCAGGAGGGCATAGCTCCCGCTCCCAGTGCCTTCTGCCACCCATCCTGAATGCAGCCTGGCCCAGCCCACCCCATGCAGATCTGGAGGCACATGCCCGCTCCCATGCCCTCCTGGCCTGGTGGCAAGAGCCACCAGAGGAACCATCGTAAGAACAGTTCCCGGACTGGCGGCATGCAGTGGAGGGAGCCCCCCTCCCTGAGTCTTGCCTCTCCCCACCCCTCCCCCTGGCTGGCAGCTTG